GAGACTCCTGAGTGAGCATGACAACTCCCAACTGACACAAGTACCAATATACTATAAGTCTATAAGTCTAACTCAATTATAATAAGTTACAGGGCTCTCACGTTTACAAAAATCCAGTTTATCAACAATCAACAACATGGTGAATAATTTAATAATTGAGATCAAAATTCCTCTTAACCTTAACAATTTTTATCCTGTGCAGTCAAACCAGCCACCCTCCAAGCATTTTTATCTTCTATATAATCATTTAGTTTGTAGTATGCTTTCCTATATAATACTTTCTTTATACATAATTTAAATTTACTTTCATTAAGATTTTGTATTTCAGTTGGGATTTTATTATAACATTTAACACATAATCCCATGAACGACTTATGCACTTTTGCTAATCTAAATAAAGGCTGACTTAATCTATTTCTATGTCTAGTAAGATAGTCATGCTTGTCAGATACTTTTACAAATAGCTGTAGGTTTTTCCTAACATACATAATGTTTTCATAAATATATTGACATGGTACGGTCATAATGTTGATCTCCTTAAACTTTTCTCTGAGAGATTCGCGACGACCTAAGTTATAGATAGCTCTGACTGCACGCTTTTGTAAGATAAAGATAGACTCAACGTCGGATGCCTGTCCCCACAACAGAATTCCATACGACATGATGCTGTGAAAGTAGCTAAAGTACACTAGTCGTGCCGTGCCTACGTCGGTTAGCTGACGGATCTTCCAGACAGCATAAGCTGCCGAGCTTAACCGCCCTGCTAGAGATCTAATGTGGGGCCCCCATTGCAGCTTGTCGTCTACAGTAATCCCCAAGAATGTGGTCTCCTTTACAAATTCCAGTTTCTGACCATTTAATAATATATCATCGCATACGTTACTTTTAACATTTGGCAAAATAAATCTAATGCATTTCGTTTTTTTATCATTAAGTACTAAGTTGTTTTTTGTGAACCAATTATGAACTTTCGTTAAGGCATTATTCACTTCGTCATAGTTATTTGATCGTCTATTTAATTTAAAAATCAAGGATGTGTCATCAGCGAATAATACCATATGCGGTTCACTTTGGAATAAATGGGGCAGGTCATTGACATAAACCAAAAATAGGAATGGACCCAATATTGAGCCCTGCGGTACGCCCATAGATACGCTAGCACCCTGGGAGTTTACTCTGTTTACTTGTACTGTAAGAAGTCTTTCTAGAAGGTATGATTTTAATAAATTTAGGGATACCCCCCGAATGCCGTAGTGTTGCAGCTTCAGTAATAGCGTTTCGTGCTCAACACAGTCAAAAGCCTTCGAAAGATCGCAAAATATTCCGATGGCATCCTGTGCTTTTTCCCACGATTTGAAAACTTGTTTTATAAGCGATACTCCTGCGTCCGTAGTGCAACGTCCCTTAGTGAACCCGTATTGTTGGTCATGGAAAATAGAATTCGCGTTAAAGTGACGCAGTATTTGAGTAAGTATCAACTTTTCAAACACTTTACTGAGCACTGGCAAAATAGAGACCGGCCTATAGTTATTGCGTTCTGTGCTATCACCTGATTTAAGTAATGGAACTACTTTACTATGTTTCATTAAATCCGGGAAAACCCCTTGATCTACACTTTTATTAAAAATTAATGTTAAGTAAGGCGCTATAGTCTCTATAAAAGACCTGCACACTCTAACAGACATTCCCCAGAGATCTTCACTGGACTTTACTTTGATATCTTTAAACGCCTTTATTACTTCCTGGGGGTTTGTATGTTTAAACCTAAAGTCCGCAGGACATTCTTTGACGTTACTTCTGAGAAGCTCGACCGCAAGTGCTGGAGATGATTGCAACGTTTCCGTAGTTTTGATGGGAATATTTTTAAAGAAATTTTCGAATTCCTGGGCAACTAATGAATTTGTACTAGTAAATCCCTTTTCGGTTTTTAAATTAAATTCTGTCTTATTAGATTTGTTTCTACCTGTTTCATTATTAATTATACTCCAGGTAGCTTTTATTTTATTTTCCGCGGTCCGGATTTTACTGCTAATATAGAGTGATTTAGCATGCTTACAAACTAATTTAAATATTTTTGAATATTTGGAGACATGCCTACGAAAAGCCTCACTTTTATTAAATGGTTTCATGCCATATAGCTCAAATAACTTTTCTCTACTTATACGAATGCCTGGTGTAGCCCAGTCACAGAATAAAAATTTACACTGGATATTTTTACGTTTTAAAGGGAACATTTTGTTCGATGTTCGATGTTTATGTCCATTATGAAATTCGCAATACACACTAGATATTATAAAAATAAAAACAGCACTGTTTTTAATATAAATTACAGACGCAACTCAAATTCCGCTCCAAAATGGAAAACAGTTATGCCAATCTAACAACAACAAAAAAAAAAAAAATTAAAATTCGAATTTGGAACCCCATAAAAATAAACATTCATTCCCGATACTTTGTTGACTGAATGTATGTCCTTTCTCGAGTTCCAAACTATGTCTGTACGTCTGTACCAAATTTTACACATATAGGATCAGTAGTTTAGGCGTGAAGAAAAGACAGAGTTACTTTCGCTCTCTCTCGTGTCTATAATTACCACGATTTAAAGGTAGGTATTTATGTTTTTTTTCTCTTTGTTTTTATCCACCTACACGAGATGGTATGTCGCTGGTTAATAACAGTGCTAAGTTAATAAAATCAATATTTTTTATAAGGAACAAATTAAATTAATTAACAAGGAACAAACAAACTATCCAATACTTTAACTTACGTATTTAATTCTGGCCATAGTGTATCAAAATATATATCAGTAGTTAACGCCAATAGCGATATAGTTGTGTATAATAAATAATAGTGGCTGCGGATTATATTTTCAAGTCAAAACCAGCATGTTTTCCTATTACCTAAATGTATAGTTAAAAACTAATCAATCAAAGAGGAAGAACATTTCTGTGGTTCGAAACTAGTAGAGCTTTTCTCAATACGGTTGTTTCCAAAACTAGTCAAATTCAATACTTTTATCCAAATGTCAAAAACGATACTTTTCTATGAAAATTGTATGAAACATTGAATTATGACGTCATAGCATTTTTGCGTCAAACAGCTTACTTATTTTTAAAAAAAATTGCTTAAAAATATCTAAAACTTAGTGTATCGATCGATCGATGAATAAAAGTATAGTTATTTTTCAATATATTATCGTATTAAAACGTCGAATTAATTTATTTTTGACCTAGGAAACTACCCAATTACACACGTGAGTAACCCGCGTTTTTTAGTTAATTACTAAATTAACTGACTATCGTGAGACATACTAATGTCTCACTATAGTTAAAAACTAATCGAAAACTCAGAATCCCTAATCGACTAAAAAGAAAACTGAAAAGGGTTAAGTAAAACAAAACCAAGTAAATAGATGTGTTGAAATATATTTATTATTTCTTTTTGATTGGTGACGTTTGAATCATTTTTATACAAAATTAATCTTACCGCTTAATCACATCATTGGAATCAGGCATTCAATTTAATGGACATCATTAATTAATTCATCATAACACGTATAATTTCGAGAAACTTAAAATACTTGTCACATAGCTGTAGTAACTATAATATTGATGAACTATAAATACGGGTGCACGGTAGTGCGTAGCACAGTCAGCGAATTAGTTCGCTCAATTTTCAAAAAAATACATTTTTTTTATTATGATTGCATAATAAAAAAAAATGTATTTATAATGTTGACAGCCTGATTCACCACTTTCGGTCCGGTTAATCTACTTTGGGCTGATTTTGGTTAGATAAAAGTTACCTAGGGAATAATTATGATGCTGTCGCGTCAGAATGTTTGTATAAGACAGTGACAGCAACAATTTTATTCCTCAGATAACATTTATCTGACTATTGAAAAATCAGACCTAAATGTGTCAAACTATGTTAGATAGGCTAACGGACACTTATCGGCAGTGGTGTAACCAGGCCTCTTTATTTGTTAAACATGTCTAAGGCATTCATTTCTGACATTAAGACATATTTTCAGGGAATTATGTACCATATTACACACTGAGGAAATGGTCTGAACCTTACAACTAAACAATCAATGGCATGTCAATATAATAGAATAAGAAATAAAAAAGCAAGACTCCATTTATATGAAATTTTTGCTAAGTATAAGAATTATAATTACTTAGTGTAAATAACAGTCTTAACAACATTCTTAACACGTTGACTGTATGTTAAGTGAATTTAATGTTACATCGAAATTCCTCATCAAATTGCGATACGAGTAAAAATCAACATACACATATATATAATATTTGTTTGAAATATAACACAAAGCAGATGAACTCAGATTCATTTTAAATTTATGTCGTAGTTTGCTGTCTTATTAAAATTTTAGGTTCATCAGATAGTATTATGCATGTAATTTTAAAAGCTTATATTGTAGACTTGGCATTTTCAATCATAAGGTCAGTCAGTGTTAATGGCTTCTCATTTTTTGATAGCAACGTGCTACACAGTCATTTCCAAGACATGCAGTACCTAATGGAGGGTACTATGTCGAAATACGGTTATAATGAAGTCAAAGTTCGATTTTCTCCTTATGACAAAGCAAAGTAAACGTAGTAATTTCCTGCTTTGAATTATAAAATATTACGATATCAGTGGTTTATTAAAAAAGTATTTACTTAATACATTTTAGACACAATGGAATCTGGAATCTAGTAATATATTGCATTTCATAAAGCTCTCTCCCCAGTAAATGTTTATTGAGTATAACTTCATAACGTCTCCTCAAGACGTTATTAATGTTTTCAAAAGTAACCCCTTTATACAAATATGTACTATTAATTTAATATATTTACACAAAGTGGAACTCCATATTTCACCAAATCTACAGAGTTTAAACACATAACAATCAGTATTGAAACCTAATGTAGTTGTCCTAAAAAGATCGTAAATATGTTTTTTATTTATATTCCATATAAATTAAACATTGGTCTAACGTATTTTCCATAAATAACATATAATATCTTTCGTCATTTAGCCATTGTTTCATACAACACAAGATATACAAATACATTAAATATCCTTTTCAAGTAAAGTAACTCCTCTACGGATTCATTAAGAAGATTTGAATTAGTAAATTATTTAAATGGGGACTAAACTTGGCTATTTTTTAATTTCCTCAAATTTGTGTTTATAGATTGCGCACATACATGAACGTGTGTGCAGCAGAGCCGTCTCGAATACTGCCATTTTGGCAGATTACTTACCAAGATATGCACATCTATTTTCTCTTTACTTACAATTTATTATAAAAATATAATTATGTTAGTGCCAGGACCCGCCTTGATGTCTCCTATCACTATATTTACTCCTCGGGTCCCGTGTACCTTGTGAGCTGGAGGAATACCCTTGATTCGCAGACCTGTATCCCTGGCTGGTGATGCTGCCCGCGTATCTCTGGTTTGGCTGATTTGATTGCTGTGACTCGTATCCTTGGCTGCTGTTTTGGCCGTAGCCTGAACTGCTAGAGTTGAATCTGTTCTGGGAACTGTATTTGTTCGGCGCTGATCGGTTGCCCTGGTTAGACTGATGACCTTGATTCGAGTGATAGCTTTGATTCGACTGATGACCTTGGTTCTGCTGGTACCCGCGGTTGTTCTGGCTGTAGTCCTGGTTTCTCTGCCCATAGTTGCGAGGGCCCTGGTTGTAATTACGGTTGTAACCCCCACCTTGTTCCTGGCCACTAGAGCTGTAGCTGCGACCGCGGTCTTGGTTCTGGTAAGGCACATATCCACTAGGCCGTGGTCCGAAGGATTGTGACCGATCTGCAACAAACATAATTTGAAAATGTAAGTTTTTTTCTCTTACAATGGAAGGACACGAATATATCTAACAGTGGCATAATACGAATACGAAAATATTGAAATCAAACTGTTAATTCATGTCGAATGAGCAGAAAAATATACTAATACTAGTAAATAAGGTTAAATTTTCGAATGATCCAACGACATAATCGTGCTTTACTCTAAAGCTTTAGTGGGAGAATCAAACGCCATCTTTTATCCGACACTTGCGTGAATATAAACGTTCCCTTTGAGCACAAAACTCGTGTATTGCGACACTCGGCTAAAAGTCGCAGCGACGCCCCGCGCGAATCGCACCTCGAGTGTTTAATCGCTCGCTTTGTCAAGATGTAATACCGACTGTGATTATAGAAGCCTGGAAGAGAACCTGTTTGGAATTTCTTCATCATGTACTGCAAGTTTCGAGACATTCTGTTAAATATCCATCTTTTGTACCGAAATCTTGCTAATGCTATTATTTTTTTATATGTAAATATTCAATTGTTAGTTACTTTTGTCTCCGCCATACCTCAATTCTTTATTTGACGACTAAACATCTATGATTACCTAATCGACTGATCGAATAACCCTACAACAACCATCGGGTCGTCTCACTACACCTTTGAGAACGGCAAAAATGGACAGATCTTTAATATTTTCCTAAAGCCACATCCAGTGAACATAAATGAAGAGAAACTAGGCTCCCATAATCCTTGCAGGTCTAAGTAACTGTGAGCTGTTCCGTACATCAAAAATTTGGCGCGTAAAGAGATTGTGGAGCAGAGGAGTGGCTCAAAGCGGCCTCTAGCGGCTTAGTGTCTTTGCAAATAGATTACAAGTATTTACATATTGCATTGAGCGTACCTTTGATATTTCGTGTAAATATTTGAACAAGTACTTAAAACTTTTTTGCAGTTGTGATTGTAATATATGAGAATGTGTTGGCCTATGTTTCATTTCAAAAGGAAGGTGAAATGTTATCTATATTCCAAGGTGAAATGCATATTGGAAGACAGTATTGACGATTAGTTTTTAAAATACGCATTCAGTGGTTGAATAGGTTATGTTTATTTTTGTTAGAGGAAAATTATCAAATGATATACCGCTCAGGAAATGTCAGACTCTTACTGACTCCCTCTCCCCCACGCCCCATTCCTTCTCCTGCTCTAAGCGAAAGCCGCGGTGCCTCATGGCGCTTACCCTGCAAACCCGGCTAGGTTATGGTGTGAACTATTTCATACAATGATCATTTTATTACGCTAAACAAAACGTGAAACTAAGCAATACCGCAATAAAATACAGGATCAGACTAGCCTGAAGTAACCCAAGAATACACCTAGGTACATAATTTGCAAGAGCATGGTCTATTTCTATTTGTACCTGTCACACGTAGCAGTGCAGGCATTAATAATGGCGGGATTGTCGAGAGCGTAACGACGCGTCGCCATTAGCCGGGCATTGTTGGTCCCTGTTGGCGCCCAACGTGGGGCACGAACACGCTATTAATTCTAAGTATATGATTGTGTGGGTGTTTGTGCGTACTGCCTCAAATTGCTCGCATCCATTGTTCAGTTATAGGGAGGTTAGAGGAGCATATAACTATATTATAATTATTACAATCTCAGATTGGTTAGCTCAACAGTTTGAGCTGTAATTGCAGAAGATATTGTTTTGTTCAACGGAATACAAATCCACTACACTGAGTTTAGATAATACATACATTTTAAACGAGTTGCAATGTAACGTAAAACAAAATTATAACGCATTAATTTTTTTAATATTACGACATAGTCACACTTCTAAGCAAAACATTTTAATTCCGCACTGAGTTGTAATTTACTTCAATGTTTAAGTACAACAACATTTACAAGTATTTCATGTTCATTTTAATTACCAGTTTTGCAAAGATGGTGCCGAAATACGAGCTATCTTAAAGACGCTAACGCGCTGAGGGCGGTAAGACTGTCAAAATTCTCTTTTCACGAGTATCGCCACAAGATCTTTTCATGCAAACCCGAAACTTTGCGTTAGGGTCGGTCACCACTGCGGTGTACCACACACATCATCAGCCTATAAATGCCCACTGCTGAGCAATGGCCTCTTCTCACGCGGGGAAGGTTACTTGAGCATTAATCACCACGCCACTGCGGTGTATCAAATGACATTACCTTTAACGTGTTTTCTTTTTTTTATGTAATTGATCGGCAAACGAGCAGACGGATTACCTGATGGTAAGCAATCAGCGCCGCCCATGGACACCCGCAACGGAGGAGTTACGAGTGCGTTGCCGACCTTTTAGGGAAAAGGGATTTGGAGATTTAAGGATTGGGGGCGGGGAAAGATTGGGCCTTCGGTAACCTCACTCACACGGCGAAACACAACTCTGTGGTTGTTTCACGCCGGTCTTCTGTGAGACCGTGGTATCACTCCGGTCGAGCCGAGCCATTCGTGCCGAAGCATGGCTCTCCCACACTTAAACTTAACTTAGTGTTCTCATATTGTTATAGTACAATACCAGTAGATTTAAAATACAATAACAGCTTAGTATCTATCTACAAGATCCAGGCGAATACTGTTCGGTATATAAGGAACATATGAGAGGTCCTTTGATCTGCTTTGCAATATATCCTTTTATGATATTTGACAAGATTTATAACTTGTAAAACCTTTCATAGAATTTTATTAATGAAATCGAGGCGATGTTAGTTTTAAAAATGTTTTAATTGAGTTGTGTTTCGCCGTGTGAGTGAGGTTATCGGAGGCCCAATCTTTCCCCTACCCCAATCCGTTCCCTTTCCCAAAACCTCCAAATCCCTAATCCCTAAAAGGTCGACAACGCACTCGTAACTCCTCCGTCGTTGCGGGTGTCCATTGGCGACGCTGATTGCTTACCAACTGGTAATGCGTTCGCTCGTTTGCTGACCTATATTATGATTTAGCTAGAATAAGTAATCCATAATAATAGCAAGCCATTCTAGGCATACAAATTGTTACGCTACATTTGGTGTAGACCCTTAGCAAGAGGAGTGGTAAAAACTAAAAAATATAAAACCTCGGGTGGCAGGCAGACATAATAGGCACCTAATGGTCGCGTCGCGACACATTCAGGTGAAAGCGAGCGACGCCGCGCTTCCAAATTATACCACGTACGCTGAATCTGTAGTGGCGGACTATTTTCAGTGCCAAGTTTTGATGCATTTTTTTAACATTTAATTTATATTTTTTTATCTGATTGGATAAAAATTGGTATCGGCTTCTTATACGCCTAATGATGCAATTCTGATTTACTAGAGATTTCAAACTCCTATTAGTCAAGCTGATAATAAAATAAAAACATACAAATATAAAATTAAGAATAGAACTTCCCCCAAAACTCTTGGTCACATAGAAGACACACTTTTTTTAATAAAAAACACTCAAGATATGAATTCAAACCTGTTCAAAAACGTCACCAAATTTTTATCTGGGTTCTTTTTTGAAAATATTTTTATGTATTATATATTTTTCTTTATTTTATTTTGAACAACGTTGAAGATGGCTGGCGGCTACGAATGTCTTTGAGGAAATAAGTTGAGTGTCAAGTAGAGACGGCGGGCAATATACCGCAAAGATATCACTTGGGAAACATCAAGTGGGCTTCAATATTTGGGATTCCGCATGTCCTGTTGAGACGTACCTTATTTGGATCCATGAATTTATTAAAAGAAAGAAAATTCTTAGGACAATGACTGTTTCTTATTGCTATTCAGTTTTTCATTAATAATTTAACGTCTTGTTATGTGTAGGTAATCGAAGTTGTATTACTATTTATTACGAAACTCAACTTTTTTAGATTTGCAGTTTTGAAATTATTGTATTTATTCAAACTTCCTACAGTTTGATGTAAATAAGTTAATGTAAGTAAAGATTTCAGTCTTCTGGTTACCTGAATGTATTTATTATAAAAGAGTCAGAAATAAGTTAAGGCCAAAATAGGACACGTAGATAATAGACGCCGGCCATTCAGACCCTCAGCACCAGAGGAGTTGCAGTTACGTTGCCGACTTTTTGGGTTTTGGGGATTTGTGGATTTTGATATTGACTTATATTCACACCAGTTTTCTGTAGACTCAGCCTATTCGTTTGCAGAAAAAAAAAATGTATTGTTGAAGCGTTGTGTTTCGCCGTGTGAGTGAGGTTACCGGAGGCCCAATCCTTCCCCTTCCCCAATCCCTCCCCAGTCCCTAAATCTTCAAATAACTAATCCCTAAAAGGTCGGCAATGCACTCGTAACTCCTCCTTTGCGGGTATCCCTGGGCGGCGCTGATTGCTTACAAACAGACAAGATTATGATTGGAGCCTCCATTTAGGTGGGTTATGCCAGTGTTAGGAGGTTCGACTCTTGTAAAATAATGTGTCTTGAAGTCGACCAAGACTTTGTAGAATAGAACAGAAATATTCTACAAAGTCTTGGTCGACTTTGGTACTACTATTTCTTCAACTTACATTTATTTGTTCAGGCTCGAATATGAATGAAAACCAACAGAAATGTTAATAAAACGTCCAGTACAACAATTACGCAGTAGTCTAGCGTGTCTAAAACCGAGGTCATAATGAGTGACACGACACAAAAATAGTTATTATGAATCTAGAAAAACGAAAAGTGTGGTTCGTCCTGCAACTAAAATGACCTGTATATATATTATTTTAAGTTCTTTTAGTTTACTTTATTTTATACTAGAGACCCGCCCTGGCATCGCACGGATGCAAAGCTGATACAAAATTTCTTATACTAATATTATAGAGGTAAAATTTGTAAGTTTGTATGTTTTTAAGTTTCTATGTAGGGGGTAATCTTTGGAACCGCTCTGGTCGGATTGCGAAAATTCTTCCAATGATAGGTAGCTACAATGTTCCTGAGTGCTATAGGCTATAAAACATCACGTCACGATCAAACGGAGCCGAGCAGCGGGTGAAACCGCACGAGAGTAGCTAGTTATACA